ATTAACTCAATCTTGAAAACAATTTGGCTTAAAACAAAGGATGCGTTATCTGGTTTGTGTTCTTTTCCTTTTGCAGGTCGTGTTTTTTTTACCCCTTCGATTATCTTTTTTCCCTTCTTACTATAGAATGGCTCTTTCCAACAGAAATAAACTTTAAAAGCAATAGAACTTTTGGGATTTTTGAATAACTGAATCGCTCCGACTATCACAATAAAATCCCACCTAAAGCCCAAGTATAAACCTTAGATGGGTGCAATATAGGGCAAGTATGTTTAAATATCAACCCGGGCCGACCCATGTACCCCTACTTCGATTGTTTGAAACGTTATCTAGCGGAATGTTGTTTGTTGAAATCTCTACAATCTACTATTTAAAAGCAAGACTTGAAAAGTAAAAGGGGTGGAAAACTCTTGGTGAGAAACTTCACTTGGGAGTTGCTTCCCCCTAACTAACTACCATGAACCGTGGGATCGAATGACTCGGTGTGTGACAAGGCAATTGCGACCCGTAGGAGGTGCAACAATGGTTAGAAACCATCCTCTCAATTGCTAGGCCAAGGGAAACATTAGAGGCTACAACAATTAACCTAGGTTTCTAATTCAAGTTAGAGGTTTACCCTTCATTAACCTAGTTAGGAGGCATGGAATGCATAAGAAAACCCATCTCAATTTGAGCCTCTAAGATAAGGGGGCTTCTCTCTAAGCTAGGTTTGAATAGCACAATAGATTGCCAAGCATAAAATATGCATAATCATCATGAAAAATACCTCAATTCTTAAATTAAACACCACCATCACATAATCATTCAATCCACACTATCAATTACATGGTAAAAGTTAGGGTTCTACAACACCCAAGTGAAAAGGGAAACTAATCCATGCTAGACAAAGGAAGAACATAAAAGAGGAAGAAAGGAACCATCATTGTGATGCCTCCAACTCTCCTCGTGCTTGTAAAGATCCTCCAAACAAGAGGAACTTCCAAAATCTTGACTTGGAGCAAACCCTAGCCTCTTCTCACTCTTGGTTCGTGACTTTCTCTCTCTAGGATTTCAAGAAGAAGAAGGTTTCTCTAACTTTGGGCTCCCCCTTCTTCTTTCTTTCAGCTCTTTATTTATACTCAGATCGCGCCCAGTTCACGGTCGTAAACATCAGGTTGCATCCGTGAACTCTGGTCAAAACGCGCCGCTTCACTTCTGGGGTTCACAATCCATTGCCCCAGTTCACGGTCTTAGCGACCGTGAACTGCCTCGGCATCAGTAACCTCTGAAACCCCTCTGGACGCTTCGCGGTTCACGGTTTGTGGTTCCACTTCACAGTCTTGGCAACCGTGAACTCCAAGCTTTGACCGTGAATTGCGGCTGAAAACTCCTCTTTGTCCGGACTTTGCTTCTTTTCTTCCAACTTTCAACTTCGGGGTTGGTTTCACCTGTTGGACTCTGAAACACAAGAAACATAGCGTAAAACCACTCTTTTAGGAGCTCAAATGCCATAAACGTCAAAGAGAAACGGGGATAAAAAGTGTATATTTAGGCCGAATCAATAACAAGACTGGAAACTTAAAATATCTCTTGGCGGATTTGAAGAGCACTTTCAACAAGATTGTTGCACAAGAAGGTAGGGATACATATGCCTCTGCTTTGGATAATAGCTCTGATACCAACTGATATTATCCTAGGCCATAAGTGAGTATTATAATCAAGAATCAAAGTACACAACACAACCGTTAGAAATCAGAAAACACAAGATGACGGAAAACAAAACCCAAAGCAATCAAATCGATAATTCAACTTGATGAAAGCACTCGATCGAAGGATGTCGACCACGACATGGATGATGAACTTATCGATATCAGGTTTCTAACTCTAATGCAAATCCACACTCATAAGACAAGAAGGTTGAAATCCTAAAGGAATTTGAAAAGCAAAGCTTATTAACTAAAAGTTGTGTGTAAAATTGTTGTGAATCCTTAGGTCTTACTCACTCTGTTTATATAGGTCACAAAAGCATAAATCCATTATTCTAGGACTAGGAAAACAAGTCCCAAACTAAGTACGAAACATAATAGTAATTAAATAAGGGGTAATTATCATAAATGGTCACAAAACTATTCACTTTGTACAAAACGGTCATAAACCTTTAATTTTGCACGTTTCAGTAACATACGTTTGGACTAATAACAAAAAGGTAATTCCGTCCATTTTCATCCAAAAGTCTGTTAGTTTACTCCAGTCAGCACGCCATGTCATCAGTAAATAATATTAAAAAATCAATAAACCAAACCAATTACACCTACCCAAACCAAACTCAACCCCACCTGGAACTTCCTTTTCCTCCGTTCTTGCCCTCCCCCGCCCCGCCGCCACCTCTGGGCAAAACATGTAAGGGAACAAAAGGATGGCTAAAAGAGATGATGTTGTGGCGAGGAAGAAGAAAATATATAGAAGGAAGAAGCTACAGAAGGACACTTCATCTCCAGCTGTATCAGTTCGCGTTGCTTCCAATAGCATTGCTACTAAAAAACTTCGGCTCTCAGGGAAGCACCGCCAGATGGGCTCGAAATCGTCGCCGAGTTGGACGGAGGAAGGGCCGTCAGAAGAAGAATCGCGAGAGGGGAGACATATTCGATCTGATTCTCGAAAACATATTTGGTTTGATGATTTTTTATTGGGGATCCGGGATTGGATTGAGGATGATTCTCGGTCGGATTAGGGTTACAGAGAGGGGGGAAACATATTTGAGTCTGTTCTGGGATTGGGTTTATTTTGGGTAGGTTGGGTTTAGTTTGGTTAATTGATCTGGTCTATTAATTTTTTTTTTTATTATTTGTTGATGACATGGCGTGCTTATTGAAATAAACTAACAGACTTTTAGATGGAGATGGATGGAATTACCTTTTTGTTATTAGTCCAAACATATGTTACTGAAACGTGCAAAATTAAAGATTTGTGACTGTTTTGTACAAAGTGGATAGTTTTGTGACCATTTATGATAATTAGCCATTAAATAAGGAATGAAACTCATTTGTAATGATAAAGAAGCTCATTAGCAACCAAGTCATCTCTTTCCTTCTCATCTCCGCATTTGAACGACTTGGACAACAAAGGTGGACGACTTGGGCCTCAAGAATGTCTTTCTTGGGTAGCAAGAAAGTCCTTAACGGTTCATGCTTATATGATCATTAACACTTCAGGCTCATCTGGTCCTTGAGCGACTTCATGTACTTTCACCAAATTGACGAATCGGTCCTTGTAACGATTCTCGCCCAAATCAGCAAAGCATCTCGTGCACCAACTAAGCTTTGGTTTGGGATTAGAAATCCTTGGCTTGGCCTATTGTAAATGGACCCTTGAATCTGAGTTGCTCCATCTTCCTCTGAAAGCTTTCTCCAATCCTTGGTGCAGTAGAAATGTAGAATTCCTCGTCATGCTTGTCTTCATGGTGTCGATGTTCACATCAGGTAAGCGGAGTGTCAATATTGGACCCAACACACTGAGCCGTGACGATATCATGTGCGTTTATTTAATTTTATTAGAAATTAATTAGGGGTTTAGAAGTGAGATTGTGACGTGAATTAGTGGTGTTAGTGGTTGGGACTAGATACTATAACAACACTAGTCTCCAATCAATAGGAAGTTAGGATTGTAATGACTTTTTATTAGTTGAGTTGACCTAGTGTAAAATCAAAGCAGGGGTATAATTGTCATTATGATAAAATAAAAAAATAAAATAAAAAATATTTTTTTATTTTCTGCCCAAAATTTTGGTCGCCGGAATTCGGCCACCGGTCGCCGGAATCTGGTCGACGATCACCGGAATATGCTATTTTCTCATCGGAATATGCCACCGTCGCCGGAATATGCTTACCGGCGTCGGAATCTAGTCATCGGGCCCGGAATATGCCTATCGGCGTCGGAATCTGCTCACTTACGGTCATAGGAGTTCGATCAACGAACTTCGTTGACCGGTCAACGGTCAACGACAACCGGATGTTATGGTCTTCATTGTGAGATTTATGGTTTGGTTTCTCACATTTTTGTATGCCTTTTGTGGTTTGCTTTATCGTGTTTGTGGTTTGCATTGAGAAGTTTTTAGTTTGCTTTATCGTGTTTGTGGTTTGCATTGAGAAGTTTCTGGTTTGCTTTCAAAAATTTGTGTTTTGCATTGATGGGTTTGTGGTTTGTTTTAGGAGATTTGTGGTATGCATTAGGAGGTTTCTGGTTTGTTTTTGTGGTTTGCTTTAACGTATTTGTAGTTTGCATTATGAGGTTTCTGGTGTGTTTTTGAAAATTCTGTGGTTTGCTTTGTGAGGTTTCTGGTTTGTTTTAATACATTTTTTGTCTGCATTAGGACGTTTCGGGTTTGTTTTTGTGGTTTGCTTTACGGTGTTTATGGTTTGAGTTATGAGTTTTCTGGTGTGCTTTCAAAATATTTGTGGTTTGGTTTGTGGTGTTTCTGGTTTGTTTTAGTGAATTTGTGGTATGCATTGTGAGGTTTCTGGTATGCTTTTTTGTGGTTTTTTTACCATGTTTGTGGTTTGTATTATGAAGTTTCTGGTGTGCTTATGAAAGATTTGTGTTATTCACTTCCTTTGGATCATGTTCACAGTAGTTGGATTCAAATATATCAACGGTAATTTTTTTTTAAACAAAAATAGTAAAAAAAAAAGACAAAAAGCAAAGATTCTCGTTGTTTGCTTTGCATACATGGCTTTAACAGTTGAACTCTTTCCCATCTCCCTTTGCTTGCTACTTGTTAGTCATTTGGCCGAAAGAAAGAATAGGTTTTGGCCGGCACTTGAAGAGAACCATATAGAGTTAGTTAGTTGTATCTTCTTCACTGCAATTCGTTCACACTTGGAAGATGCAGCTGCTGATCTTTGAACCTTGTTTAAAAAACTGCAGGTGCTGAAGTAGCTGTTCTGTGCATAACCAAGTCAGGGGAAGTAGTCAACTATCAAGCATTTACAAATGCCAAAGGGATGTACACGGTTGCATAAACCATGCCCGAAAGCGACCGTTGGGATGCATGCTTGGCAAGACCTATAAGCAGCTTTCACGACCACTGCAACCAACTGGGGCCTTCTAGCAGAGGACTGGGCTTGAGTTCAAGTCCTTAAGCCTCATTTTTTAAGGAAAATCTTAAAGCCTTCCTATTGGCTAATAGTGGATTAGGTAGTTAATGGGGGTTAGTAGTTAATAGGTAGTTAAGGGTAAATAGGGTTATGCAAATATAATTAAAATTAATATAATTAATTAATGATTCTCTTTCTCTCTCCTCCCATGATTTTCTCCATAACCCTCTCTCTGCATTATAATTAAAAAGAAATATGAAATTAATTTTATTTAATATTTAATACAATTCGAATTTAATATTTTTTTTCTAAAAATGGAAATTTGAAATTTAAAATATATGGCTCTCTCACATCTTGGCAACTTCCGATTAGTATTAAGTATTAACATTTTGTAATGACATTATCAAGATTTATAAATTGAATTATCATTAGGGCTTTTCATTGCATGGGTTTGAGATTTTTCGTTGTTAGGTATTCGTTTGTGTTATTATTAATGTTGTTCGACATGTTTTTTAATAATTTTATATGTCATTATTAACTTTTTATGTTATGTTTTGTTTGTAACATTAACAAATGTGAAATTGTGTTTTCAATTTGTTGGTACTTGAGGTTTATTTACTATTACATCGTATTATCAATTTGGTTCGCAATGATTTATAATCATTTGAAGTACTATTATCAATTTTTTTTTACAAGTACAATACAACCATTAGCAATTTTTTAGTGATTTGAATTATTAATATTTTTCATTTATGTTTGTAACTTTGTCAAATGTCATTATCAAGAAGCATACTTGTTAGATATTCGTTTGTTTATGACATTATCAAAAGTGAATTTACGTTTAATGATATAACTATGGTTATTAATCTTTCAGTCTAAGTTAGTAACGTAGTTGGTGTCATTATTAATAGGCGTGTATAAGCATTATCAATGTTTGAAAATAAGATATTAATAATATCTAATAAGGTACTTAACAATCATTAGTTGCTATCATTATCAAAGTTTTTGGATGCATTATCCATTAAACACATGTTACTTATTAATGCGTTTTTAGTGCTATTTGACATTAAACATTGCATCTGAATATTATTAATATTTTTATATTACAAAAATCTATTTCCTTATTAGTTACTTGTCATTCAATATTAATGGTTTTTAATATCTTTATTAAACGTTTGATGTCATTTATAATGTTGAAGTCGGACATTTTTACATTGATGTTTTGTGTTTATTTTCAACGAAATACTTTTCGTTATCAATGATTTATTGTATTGTTATTAAAAGTTTGGTGTTGAGACGTGAATGTTGGTTTGCTTGAGCTAATATTTTTCTGGACAATGTTTGTTTGACTGAATCACACAGGTGCACTATATCACAAGTATCCAAGATGTTGAAAATCAGTATTGTGCTTTATGATCATTGAGAATGATAATGTAAAACAATATTAATTGATCATAAAACGTTAATAATGTCATTAGAAATCATTGGAAGAGGCCATTACTAGATAGTTATAAACATGATGTGAAAATGTGAATCATTAGTACTAAAGATGTTGTAAATCAATGATATTGTTATTCAAACTATTAATGACTATGTTGCATAACTTTAATGATTCATTCATATGCGTTGATGACGAAACTATAAAACAGTAACAATTGATCCAAAATTGTTAATAATGTAATTGTAAGGAATTGATAAGTATATTGAAGTCGTTAATAATGATGAGGTATAATAATAACGATTCATTTCATAAATGTTGATAATGTCATTGCAAAATGTTAATACTGTATTTCAAGTTGCCACAAAGTGAGAGAGAGCATATATTTTTAATTTTTAGTTTTCATTTTAAAAAATAAAAAATATTAATTTCGAATTTATTAAATATTAAATAATAATATCGAATTAAATTAATTTCGAATTTCCTTTTAATTGTAGTGGAGAGAGAGGGTTATGGAGAAGATCAAGGGGGAGAGAGAAAGAGAATCATTAATGAGTCATATTAATTATATTTTTATAATATCTTATTTATTCCAACTAACTATTAACTACTAACCCCTCATTAATTACCTAATCTAGTATCAGCCAATAAAAATGGTTTAAGAACCTCCTTAAACAATGAGGCTTAAGGACCGGATCCAACCCGCAGAGGACTGAAGTTTAGTTACAACAAGCCATCCGGATATTCTCACAGTGTTAGACCATTTGTATATCGGCCTTTTAACGCTCCAACATACTGCTTGTAGATGATACCCCAACATCATAACTTATTATCCTGTGCCGACGGAGATGAGAATTAGGGCTGGGTAGAATCCAGATCCCTTGATGTTCTCGAGTACCATTTTCGGCCAAAGTGCAGAATAAAGAACGAGGCGAGATTTGGTTGCGATTGAAAGAGGAGGATTGGGGCCTCCGGCTTCGAAGTCGGTAACTACGTTTTTGGCGGCGGCGAAAACGAATACCAGCGTTGAGAGAGGTTTCTGATCGGTGCAGAGAGGAGAAAGATAGCGCCCGGCCTTTCACGTCAGCAACACCGTCGTCGCGATCCACAGGCGAAGCACTTGATGTTCTTACGAGACGACGTGAAGAGATTAGAAGGTTCAGATTGGGCGGCGCTGGGGAGAGTATTGGAGGAGAAGGAGCCGACGAGGAAGGAGACCGAGAGACGGCTGCAGGCTGAATATTGATTTTTTTTATTTGTTAAATATTGTGTTAATGGACCCTTTTACCCTTGTTGTTACTATAACAACAAAGGAGGTGTTGTTATAGTATCCGAACCCTTAGTGGTTAGCCAGAATTAAGGGAATTTAGTTTAGTGATAATTGTTTTGGTATTTTCCGATTAGTTTGCTAGGTTATAGGGTTATTAGTTTTAAGTTCTCTATTTAAAGAAGGAGATGTACAGAGGAAGGGGTAACAATCAAGTATAATCAAGAAAAGTGTTTTACACACCTACGTGTTAATTTGGGAGGTTGGCTTTCCTCGAAAAAGTTTAGGGGTTCCGTTCTCGCCATTAAGGAGAACACTTCTCTTCTTCTCAATCTATATATCCTTCCTCTATTCTTCTTCTTCCTATTTGGATCTTTCTCCTTATATTCTATTCTACAAAACGTGCACATAACAGACGATGAGTTCAGTAAATTTGAAAAGAAAGTGTTGACATTTCTCTTGTGGCTGAAATGAATTAATTAAAGTAATACCGAAAATGGAAAACCCCCCGGCAAGCTTATAGGGGACATGCGGAGGCCACGCTCTCCTTCCTCAAACAACCTTTTGAATTATATCATCGTACAATAGTAATTGACCAGTAAACCAAAGTGGCCTCTCTACTGGTTGGTTGGGTTGGGCTCAACCTCCACTCCAGGCACGAGGTAGATGCTATTTCTTCTACACCACACCATGACCATAGAGGTAAGTACTAAGTAGTACTGTAGTAGTAGTACTTTTCTGAGGAGGTTTAGGGTTTTTCTTTTCCTCTCTAGTCTCTAGATTAAAAGAAGATTTTGTCTTCTCTTAATTGTTAACTGTCTGTTGGGAACTTTTTCAGTATATAATTAATTTTGACAGAATTTATGTTTCAAATAGTTTTCAGTTTTGGAAAGGATTCTCTTTGTCCGTATTTCAAGGGGGAGCCAATCCTATGCATAGGTTTATGTTTCACATGTATAACCATCCATAAGCATTGTAATAATTATTATTTTTTTCAAAGGATAATCAAATTAATTATGCTCTAAAAAAATGATGGAGTCATTTGGATGAGTAACCCTGCCACCAAAATCACCATTGGATTGACGAAAATACGAATGGAAAGAGATGGGTGGAGTTATCACCGTGCTAACCTATTAGATGGCCAGCAAGCCATCCCTTCCTGTAATTGTAACGGATCAATTTGACGCTATTGTCTCATTTTGAGACAATTATACCAAATTGACTCGTTTGCCAGCAAAAAAATTGGATGGATCAATTTGTCTGGAGTATTTTGAATTGACCCGTTTTGAGGCAATTTCAATTGTTTGGGGTGGAGGCAGGTAATTCGAATTGCCTCGTTTTAATTGCTTCGTTTATAAAATGAGACAATTAATCAAATTGTCTCATTTCTAGATTGATCCATCTAAATTGCTCGGGCATATATTTTGGAACATTTATTACAGTACATACTATGGTGGTAATTCTTGGTAATACAAGAAATTATATAAGAGTGGTGTGAAAGTGTAATGAATGTACCACAATGTAGAATAGTTTTATACATGACAATCGACATATATTAGCTATCATTTACCATTTTCAGCACCGTCTACACATGCTACCACCCTATACGAGGGGTGGTATATTTCACCTAGAAAACCATTTTCCCATAAATTTGTAGATCCAGTAAATTATGATAAACTCGTTTCTTCTACCTAAATTTTTAAAATTTGAGTGAAAAACTAAGGTGGTATACATGGTGATATAAAGTGGTACGTGCGGTACAAAAGTTGTCCTCGAAATATGTTGAAAATGGATATCATTTTGTACATCACAACGAACTTTTTCCATTTATACAAATTTTTTGAAATCCAAGTTAAAATAAAGAAAATAAAAGTCGATTAAAAAACTAAGGGAGCTAAAAAGTCATTTAATATAATCTCTTTGATTAACCCCATTAAAATCAATAGACAATATCTGTTTATGCATGAGAGATTATCAAAGACTATTGACCTTATCTTAGGCCCGGTTCAAGTGTTTGTACTAAAATTCTCATAAATGCCTCTTTTATAAATATACACACAAAGAAAAAAGTGGAATTTCCTTGGAAAGTTTGTTTAAATAGGGCCTAGGTTACTATACAAAATCCTTTCTATATGTAAAAGTAAAAAATATATCTAATGGTTATAATTTGTGAAGAAAAAATCTAATGATTCATATCATAAAAGAGGTAAGGATAAATATAATGAGAGTTGCTAAAGATCGTCTTAAAAAACATTAAAGTTACACTTTTAACCCTTTTACTTCTTTACCTTCCCTTTTAGCAAACAAATACCACTTAGACTAAGCAAAGAAAAAAAAAAC